TAGGCTAGTTTGATCGATCAGTGCACCGATACAAGTTCTAGAGCTAGAAAAGATCCGCTAGTCCAATGGCTAGGCGGTTTAGCCAACCGTTCAGACTAGTCTGGGAGAATTTTAGGCAAGAAACATGCTTTGAACCACGTACTCTATAATACTAGTGTCTCATCCACCGTCACTGCTTTGATCTAAATCACATCCTCGAAGCAAGTTAAATATTCAATCAAGAATTTTCTCGGAGTGCCACCCTTGGAATTCATCATCAACATTGTTCTTATTGATCATATCTTCACACTATGACAAACTAATCATCTTATCAACAATCGTAGAACAGAAACACAAACAATTATCAGTTTAACCATAAAACCTAGAAAGATTGAACCACCATAAAATCTTATGTGTTTATCCATGATTGCTTTGTTTAGTTTACTGTTTATTATTTCGTTGCTATACCTTTGATAACAAAACAATAATTAATTAAAAACTACAAATCAGTAACAATCTTATTCAACCTCTCTTCTAGGTTTGCAGCTAGATATGAATAGTTGAGCTTCACACTAGAGTGGAAGTCCCTCTTAGCAAAAAGGAAGAATAGATGAAGGAATATCTTTCGAACCGCTATTAACTCTTGCGTGATTATCCATGATTGGTTTGTTTAGTTTACTGTTTATTATTTCGTTGCTATATCTTTGATAACAAAACAAGAATTAAGTAAAATTGCAAATCAGTAATAATCTTATTCAACGCCTATTCCAAGCCTGCATCTAGATTCGAACAGTTTTCACATGTAAAAATACTTAAGACATCTTATTTGTTTTGCCCTTAATCATCATTAGGGCGTTTCCTCCTTTTTTCCTTTTCCCACCAGGTCTAAGTGTCTAACTGGGCAACAGATCATAGGATTTAGCTTTGTCATTTCCTTATGGTAATTAAGTTTGTTTTTCACATTGATACTATTTCCTGCCCTTGGAAAATTATTCCTACTTTGAGAACCATTAAACTTCTTAGGAATTGCATTACTATTTACAGCCATTATTACGAAGAAGCTAATCAATGCGCGGACACTCTTCAAAAATTATCTTAGGAATCTGAAAATGATTCTAGCAAGCATCCTTTCGATAGTATACCTGCCCGCCAAAATAAAAGGTTGCAAGCTTCTGGATGCACAAGAATACCCTTCTATTAGGAAAACATAGTCTTATTCAATCAATCATATTGTAAGGGGAAAGTCTCCCTTGTTTCTTTATTGCCACTTTTTTTTATTAAGGAATAATCCCTCTACTTTATGGTTCAGTTTTATGTCCTTGCTAAATTTTTTAATTAACAAAACCTTTAAGTCTAACCAAGGACCTGAGAAGTTCAGCTAAATAAATAAATAAACATTTTAAAATTGAAGGTTTTATTTGACATTAGTCCCTTAAATCTTTCATAATCATTGAAATTCCTATTAGGTCCTTCAAATCTTAAGTTATTTTAAAATCAATCCCTCAAATCATTGAAATCGTCTATTAAGTACCCTAATTCTTAAGTTATTTCCAAATTAGCCCCCCCAATCTAGAGCGAAAATCATAATTGGAGGAATTAATTTGAAGCAACTTATGAGAATTAGGAGATGTTAGTCCATAACTATAGATTTAATTTGGTAATCCTTCTAATTCTACTTGTTCTCTTGATTGGAGGGACTAAACTGGAAATCAGTGTTTTTAAATGCGCATCCAGGCGCGCGCCTCGGGCGCGAGGCGCTTCGGCGCAGCGACGCAGCGCCCCGCAGCACGTGCGGGGCGCTGCACTTGCGTCGGCGCGTTGCGCCTGGGGAGCGCCCCGCAGCGCCGACGCCTTCAACGAGGCGCGCGCGTGGGAATATTGGAAGAAATGAAATGTTTATTCAATGGGTTATTGGTATAAACCCACTTCAACGAGGCGCCCGATTTCATTTTTATGTTCTGTCGCTCTTCTCCCACTCCAAATCACGAAGAAATCGTTAGGGACCTAGGGTTATTGGGTATCCCTCGGCAGCAACAAAGCAACGATGCGACGCGACAGGCGACGGGCGACAGGTGACGGCGAGCGGCCGACATGCGACGCGTGATCGGCGACCGGCGAGCGGCGAGCAGGTAGTTATTCCTCAACGATGTTTTCCTGCTCTTTTTTTCTTTTCGTTTTTTGGTTTTCTTTTTTTTTTCTTTTCTTTTTTCTTTTCTTTTTGTTGTTGGGTTATCGTTCTCTGCTCCTCAGAGATGTTTTTTTTTCTTTTTTTTTCTTTTCTTTTTTTTTCTTTTCTTTTGTTGTTTCGTTCTCTTTCTCTGTTCCTCAGAGATGTTTTATTTTATTTTTTTCTTTTCTTTTTTCTTTTTTTTCTTTTCTTTTTTTCTTTTCTTTTGTTATTTCGTTCTCTCTCTGTTCCTCAGAGATGTTTTTTTTTCTTTTCTTTTTTTTCTTTTTGTTGTTGCGTTATCTTTCTCTGCTCCTCAGAGATGTTTTTTTCTTCTTTTTTTCTTTTTTTTTCTTTTCTTGTTTTCTTTTAGTTTTGCGTTCTCTTCTAAAATTGTTAATTAAGTTCACTCAACTATGTTTTTTTCTTTCACTGCTCCTCAACGATGTTAAGTGACTAAACTGTAAACTGTTAAAGTGTTAATTAAGTTCCCTCTTCTAAAATTGGTTTGATTTTAATATTAACTAACTTACAAAGAGAGACTTAATGTTAATTATCTTACTTTTCCTAGCTGTTAGTTTTTAATTTATTTTTTTATTATTATCGCTCTTGAGTCTTGACTGTTAAACTGTTTTTTTTTTTTCTTTGGCTTAATATCAATATGTAAAATTGCAGAGTCATGATGTTATGAACTAATTGATTGCTTCTTAGTTCTTATTAGTTAATAATACATATCAGTCATAATTGTTGAAAATTTTCAAGCTTATTGTTGTAGTACGAGTACTACTATTTGATTTCCTGTGCGAGACTGCGAGTATTGATTCTTGCTATTTGAGCTAGATGTAGTGCTACATGTTGAAACTTGATTCGTCATTTGTAACCTGTAAAGAGGAAAATAAAATTTTTGTAGTCTGGAGTGCGCCTCGCTTCGCTCGGGCGCGCGCATCGCCTTGCGCCTTGCGCATGTGTGCGTAAACTGCCTTTGCGCCCCGCATTGCGCCTCGCGCATTGAAAACAATGCTGGAAATAAGTTAAGAACTGGAGGACCTATTTGCAATGTCAATGATTTGAAGAACTAATTTCAAAATAGCTTAAAATTTGAGGGACCTAATAGCTATTTCAACTGTTTGATGGATTAATTTCAAAATATGAAAGATTTAAGGGACTACTATCCAAAAACACGCCATTTGAAAAGAGAAGTTATATACCTGAATTAGACAAAAATCCTCACTCTTCATATACTGTGAAATCAACAAGGTAATTTTTTGTTTTAAAAGCTGATTGCACTTAAAAATTCTCTTTTATACTCTTAAATAGCAAAAACTTGAATCTTAACTGTAATGTGTAAAATAAATAATAAAAATAAAAAGAAACTAAGTAAGCATTTAGAGATCAAATGGATTCAGACTTTTACTGCAAACTGAATTTGGTATTCTACTTATAGCATATCATGTTTACTGATGAGGGGTTATCAATAAGAAATCCTGAAATAGGAAGTAGAAAAGGATAGTTATGAATTAAATAAATTAAACTTTGATGTCAATGATGCTCAGACAAGCAGATCCTTAAGGACATTAGTCAGTGGGCAGAATATATGCTAATATTCTAGATGAGGAATGGCTGTGATGGATCTATAGTACAAAAATCTATCCACAATCAACCCAGACGATTATACAGTTGAAAAGAACAAATATGGCATACAGCCCAAAAAGAATGAGGTACCTTGATTTCTGCATGAGGAATTCCTCTAGCTGGTGCAATTGGATCATTAGCAGCCTACCAATCACAGGGAAGATAAGATATAACAATAGAAATATATGGCAAGCAAATATAAATATGCGTGGAAAATACTTTATATAAGTAATCAGTCCTAGTTTTTAAACTGAACAAATTTTCAAAATAGCCCCATTTAATTTTTTTATTTTTAAAATCGACCCCTTTTTTTTATTTACCAAAACCGACCCGTTTTTTTATTAGCAGCCTAATCACCCTCCTAAACAGTCGGGGTTAGCAACCCCGACTATTTAGGAGGGTGTTAAACCCCAATTAGAAGCCTTAAACCCTAAAAATTTATGTCCTAAATAGTCGGGGTTGGCAACCCCGACTGTTTAGGAAAGTGATTAGGCTGCTAATAAAAAAAATGGGTCGGTTTTGGTAAATAAAAAAAAATTGGGTCGATTTTAAAAATAAAAAATTTAAATGGGGCTGTTTTGAAAAATTGTTCTTTTAAACTCATACGAAATCCATTTCGATATAATTTCTCGTGTAATTAGTCAGTCTTCATAAATCACCTAAATTTATGTATACATTGTATGATAAAGCGGAATATATTTATCCTACAGGAGAATGCTAATAGAACCATATGATATGAATATACTTTATATTTTAACCACAATTTATAACATTAGAAAACAGAAATTGCAAATTACTAGCACTGAACATCAAAAGCTGGGAAATTGCAAAATAATAAGTTACTTTCATAACAGTGGGCTAAAATATGCTACTGTGATACATTTACAAATTACAAATAGATAAGAGTTAGAACTTTCTCCAAAAACAAGAAGAAAAAATAAAGGGAACTAAGTTAAGACACAAGATGAAGTGCTATATAACTTCCAACCTGTGAACATATTCAGCAAAGATTATCACAAACTAAATAAAGAAAAGACAATCAGCAAAATGGTTTGCTTGCTTGTATATAGTACTACTTTGCGATGACAGTTAAACAGCCAAGTACCAGAAGCATACACTTTGTAGTTAGATTTAGAAACATTTCTAGTGAATGCAACTCTGTGACAAATGTACGCTGGCTAAGAAAGAAATCAGTATGCTGGTTGCGTGCGAAAAAGAAACCACAGTGGGGCACCATAAAGCAGCCTGAAACTGATATCTTTCAATCCCATGCTGTTCTACATTTGACCAAAAACAGTATATAACTTTCCTGAAGTGGGGACAAAATTTCCACTGGGGTTTAGGCTCAAATTTAATGCATGGGACTGAAACCATGGTGTCAACCAATTTGTGGAATGCAGGATCGAAGTCTGTTTTGCTGGAGTGGCAATTTATCATTAAACAGAAAACTTACTGAATTATCATTTTTCCTATTGAATTGATGCAAAACGGCTTTCGAAGTTCAATAGGCAAGTAGAACTGTATAAGCGTTGGAGAAGAGTCAAACCAGTTAACGTCATTTCATTGAATAAAATGCTCATCTAGCTAAACTGGAACATAGAAGCTATGATTCAAAAAGTGGGAGGTCTCTTTAAAATCTGCTAATTCTTTTAATCCCTATTTTACTAAGTATCGAGTCTGTTTTACTAGGAATCTTTTAGCTTGTTTTATTTTGTTGACATTATGTTGGGAAAGTAACTCGATACTAGAAAGAGAGAGTCATGTCTATTGATAGTAATACAAATAAAATAAAAATTCCTTAATCTTTCAACATAGGACTAAATAATCATTCTAACTTTCTTAGTATACAAACTACCGTAGTGCTCCTCTCAAGTCGGACAAAAGAGGTTTTTCGATATTAGCCGCAATATCTTCAATATTTTGAAATTAGTCCCTCCAAATCTTCATATTTTAAAAATACGCACCCAAAAATTAAGTGTTTTGAAACTAGTCCCCCTCATATTGTGAAATTAGTCCACCAAATGTGTTACAAGTGTTTTGAAATTAGTCCCTCTAGTTAGCACAAGGTTCAAACATTTGAGGGACTAATTTCAAAAAACTTAAACACATTTGGGGGACTAATTTCAAAGTATGAAAGATTATCACTATTTTTACTAGAATATTAGCAACTAAAGGTTGCTAATATTTTATTCAACAGGTTGGACATTTTTTATATGGATTTTTTCGATCTTAGTCCCCTACATCTTTCATATTTCGAACCTGTGGATAAGAAAGAGTGATTGAAAACAAAGCATTGTCTACGTGTGTATCCTTCGGTTAGATCACAATCTACAATTGTTAAGCTATTAGTCTGAGACTGAAAAATGTAAAATTACGGAACAATTTAACTGTCTTGGGAGCATAAAAACCAAGGTCAAGGATGCAGTTTCCTTTCTGACAAGAATCAGACAAATGGCTGTAACAAGCTCTGGTTATGGATCTTTTTCTGGTGGCTCACTTCATAACTGAGGTCCCCACAGATGGAAAAATCTGGAAAAGTAAAACTTAATCGCTTCACGGTTGTCCTTGCTGACACTTTGGGCATACCCCAAATGTGTCTACAATTCCTTTAAAGCTTAGTAATGTAGAATTCAAGCAAGATTTCAGCACAATGGTTGTTCCGCTCACTCCATAAATGAACAAGCCAACCCGGGATCCTTCTTTACCTAAATTTAACTGTAATTAGCATGATCTTTCAACTTTTGCTAGAGGCATGATTGTAATCAGGAAGGTTTCATGCACTTGGATATCAATCTTCTTGTCCAGTTACAACTGAGAGGCTATATACCGATGAAACTGTGAAGTCTTGGCAAAGAAGTTTGCACCTTTTAGGTCATGTAATCTAAAGTCATTCCCTCCGAAGTTTCCATAGACTAAGAAAAAGACTAGATGTAGGAGTAGATGATTTTCCATAGTGACTAGATTAATCTCTCAAAGTATATATAAGCAAATGAGCAAAGCTTCATTGTTCACGAACATGGAAAATATTATGATACTCAAGACTCTAATAGGCTTCAGTACTGATTATCCATCTAAATGAAGTCCAAGAATGCAGTCATTTTGACATATTGATAAGCAGACTTACAACAGCTGTATCTTCACTATGAATAATTAAAATGAATGCACAATCAATCAGGCCCCTCAGGTGTTGAGCAATTCAGATGGAATTTTGTTTGTACAACAACAAAAATATGCAGCAAGTTGCATACTATGTTTTACTATTTCAAATAACAACAACAACAACAAAGTTCATCACAACTCAGGAACCATGTTATACTGTTTATAGTAAAATTTTGTGCATGTTTGGCAAACAAAGGATAGGCTTATGTAGAAATCAACCTTTCAAAACATTAAAAAGCAAAAAATGAAAGGTTCAACCAACTTCAAAGAGGAAGGCTCATGAAATGTTAATAATGTTGAACCTAATTACCTGTATGCATAACAAAGGTGTTCTAACATGCTCAATTGTCCTTGAACTACTGGCATTGAAGTAGTAATCATCAACTGACGTGAAAGCAAATGAAACTGCCAACAAGGACAAGAAAAATAAACTCCTTAATATATTTTCTTCAAAAAATTAAAAGGGAAGCATGGAATCCAAAATAGATTACTTACATACCGCGAGTTAACCCTTCATCAAATTCTCTGACAGTCCTGGCATTAGCCGCCATAGGTATATTATATTCACCATCAAGGCCTTCAAATAGAAGAGCATGCCTGAAGATTAGTGACAGCAAGAAGGAAGATCAGTAGCTGAAATTGGATATCAGATCTTTAAGGAATCATAAAAGGTAATAAGAAACTGTAAGAAAACATGGTTTACTTCTTAAATATTCTTCTCAAAGATCTAGCAAGAGCTTTGTCATAAACATTATTGAAGCCCTTACGGAAATCCTCATCTGCAATTACCAAATTGAAAGGATTACACAAGGATACTGCCCCTGAAAGAGCATGCTTACGAGATTCCTGCAACAAGAGGAAAAACAAATCAAATATGCATGGAATGTAGTAATACAACCATAGAACATCGTCCACAAGGGAGAACCAAAACATGCACCATAGGGGAAAGTATACTAAATCAGGGTATAATAGGATACATACTTTTTGTTTGTACTGATAATATGATACATACCTGACCCAGGAAGCGAACAAGAATATTAGCACCAAGGGACCAGCCAACAGCATATATATTGGATTTAGTATAACGTGCTGAAACATGATCCACAACTTGACTGAGATCATCTGTAAACGAAGCTGAGTAAAACTGCATTTAGACAACGATTTATCAACAACATGCGAGAGCCAGATAACTATTCAAAAACATACATAGATGTCGTGTGAAGAAAAAGTAAATAAGAATGTAAATCTGAAAATAAAGGAGGCAAATTGCTAATCCTTTCTGACATTTATGATAATCGAAGCACATTCTTTAAGCCCAAAAGTCATTTTAGCAAATGGAACAAAAAATTGATTATGCATATGTTTAGAAAAGGTTAAAGTTAATTTGCATAACCTATCACCCACATGGCAATGAAGACAGGCTTCCAAACATTGTGACCAAGTCAGGAGCAAGAAATCTTCATTGACTAGGGTGCAATGGGATGAAATATCTAAGCCAGATATTTTTCCGTCATCTAACAATTTTGTTCACTTAACATGTGTTTACGGAATCAACTCCAGACATAGTGACCATGTTCTATACAGGTGGGTTCTCTCTTTATAATCTCCGTTATACACTGACATTAGAAACTCTTTATATCTTTCCAATTTACACACCCCAAATTGATTTTTTTATTCAATACTAAACAACTCTAATTCCATTTCTTACCACTGACAATAAACATCTGCCTAAATAAATATTGAAGAAATACATCAGTTTTAAACTAGTGTATTTGAACTTATGATTTTGGCCAAAAGTTCTTCCCTTTTCTTAACAAATTACGTCCTGGTTCAATCTTCTTTTTTTTTCTTTTTTTTCAATAACTAATTTTTTTGCCTTTTTCCATTTCTTTCTTCTTTTTTTAATATTTCATATCATATATATATAATAAAAGAGTTACGCAAAAGCCCCTCTCAGCCTGCAAAACAGTCCAAGAGTGCACCCAAAAGAAGTAAGGCATCCCTTCACTTTGTACAAAAGTAAATTATGAGCCAACAAACACATAGGCTCCTGAAGAAAGGTGGAAAGAAAGTTACATGTAAACATCATGGATCCAGTTAGCGGTCACGAGTATAGAACATACCCATCATGTCGAGCCAGAATATGCATAGGAAGAGAGCTACATCAAAGAAACATTGAATCTGAGTTAAGGAGTGACACCACTTGGATAAGCTATCAGCAACAAAGTTAGCTTCCCTGTGGCAGTGGAGCACTGAAGTGGCATGGAGGTGCTGGTTGCATGAATTTCCAGCGATGGTGCAGCTGCCAATAGGGATTCGGCTGACCAATACTAGTGACTAGGCTTATAGAGTCAGAAAAGACAATGGAAGGATGGAGACCCATCTCATAAATTAGTTCAGCTCCTACTGCAAGAGCTTGGATTTCTCCTTGCAGAGTAGTGCCTGAAACCATCATAGCCGCAAAGGAACTGTCCCTCATGCTGATGATTCCTACAGGATCCGTCGACATTAAGAGCATACGAGTTCAGGGGGGGAGGGGTCCAGGCACAAAGGAAAGTTCTTTTGGCCAAAGGGGATCTCAGGGCAATGCCAATAGCAAGTAAGGAGTCAATGCCATATTTGGAGGACTTCATCTTAGGCTTAACGAGGTGATCAATGTGCTGCAAGGAATCAATAATCACCAATCTAGCGTGCAAATGACTTTTCTTCATACCACCATAAATTGTGTTGTTTCTATAGCTCCATATTTGTTTGCAAATGGAGATACAAGCTACGCGCCCCATGATAGATAAATGAGAGTTACCTTTACAGTTCGTGAACCACCATATGATTCGGGTGGTGATAGATTGCTAAGAAAAGTAGGGGGCTGCAAAGATACTCCAAAATAAGACCATAGAGCAGTAGCCAGTTCTCCATGAACAAATAAATGATTCAGGGACTCAACTTGAGGGTTAGAGCAACCTATGTAGCACGGACACGGATCCGACACGGCCATCCGACACGCCGACACGAGGCAAATCCTAAAAAATACATAGGATACGTGTGTTCGACACGTGTGTCCGACACGGACACGACACGACACGGCTTCATGTTATGCGTGTCCGTGCTTCATAGAGAGCAACATACACATTTAGAGGCTATAGAGACACCACAATCCTGAGCTCGTGCGTCAACAGGAAGAATATTGTGGAAAATTTTCCAACATATAACTTTTGCAGCAGCAGGCACAACCGAAGACCATATATCCCCAAGGATTTGAACAACAGGAAGGTGACTATGAATTGAGTTCCAAGAAGATTTAGTTGAGAAGTTACCAACCTTATCAAGAGTCCAATGTCTCATCAAGAACCTAGGGGCAGTAAAGAGTATGCACCATCGCTGGGCCAATAGTGGGAAGGAGATCATCAAAAGACCAGGCACCATCATGATAGAAATCCATGAGTTTCAATTTGATATCAGCATTTGGATTGAAGATATCAAGCTGAAACTCAGGGTGCCACCGATCGAACCAGAACGACATGTTGCGAAGTCGACAGACCAGGCACAACATGATCCGCAAACTCCTTTTTGATAGAGAGGATATTTTTCCACTCAACAGAGCACCTTTGAGGCCCAGACCATGCCATAGGAGATAAAAGGACTTTATATTTATCCTTCACGAAAGTGGCCCAAAGAGAGTTTGATTGACATATATGCCAACATTGCTTTAGGAGAAAGCCTCTTTTCACATCAGAAAGCTTCCTAATGCCCAACCCCTCCTTCATTCAGAGGAAACATAAATTTGTGCAACGCTAGCCAGTGTGTAATAGCCCCAGATAAAAAAATGATAATATATATAATATTATTATTATTATTGTTACATGTCGGTGTTTCTCACCGCCTTCCCCTATCGGTGGTTATCACCGCTTTACAGTAATATATAATATATATATATATATATATATATATATATATATATATATATATTATATATATAATGGAGAATCAGAAGCAAATTGGGGTTAAAAAAAAGAAGAAGAAGAGAAAAAGAAAAGAAAGGAAGAAGAAGAGGAAGAAGATTAAGGGAAAGGAAGAAGAGGGGAATTTCACCTACAATCCAAGCCCATCCAAAGGTATAGACCATTCTCCTTGATGATTTCTTTGATTTTAAGGGATTAATGCTTGGTTTCTTAAGGAATTGAACAAACAAGATAGTAATAATAGAAACACATATCTGACCGCCGATGAGAGTAATCATCGACCCAATCGCCGGGGAGCCTCGCCTTGGGATACCAGCCCGACGACGACGCAAGAAGTGGTCGCGCCGAGAGGAGAGAGAGAGAGAAAGAGAGAGAGAGAGAGAGAGAGAGAGAGAGCAGAAAAAAAAAGAAACGGAAAAAAAAGAAGGGAAAAATGTGTCCAGGCCCCAAAAGTAGAAAGTTCATGTGACCCGCCCCTTTGTATTCTGACCCATGTGTATAAGCCCCAAATACACACTGTATTTGTGTTAAGACCCCAAAGTATCGGGCCCTGAGAAAAGCCCAACAAAAGTTACGAATTTACCCTTACATTTGCTAAGCATGGTAACTGCGCCCATCCCTTTAACCCCATCTCATCTCTCTCTCTCCTCCTCTATCTCTCACATTCTCCTTCTCTCTCACTTCCGTCATGACCACTGAAAATGATCAGGACCTGGGGAGGTCGTGGAAGGCGAAGGCGAGACGGTGGTCATAGAGTCGGAGGTCGGAGAGTCATTGATAATCACAGTTTATTACAATTTTATACCCTCATTATCTATTTTATAGGAATAAATATGCCACTAATAATTGTTTTTATCTTTAAATGCAGATTAATGAAGAATAAATCTCAAACTCCCATCTTTCAACAAAAACCCCTTGATTTATTGAATAAATGAAGCCCATGAAGCCAAACAATTTATTTTAAATATTTAATGAAGTATTAAAGCCCAAAATTGCCAAGAAATTGTCTAAGGCCCAAGCCCAAGAGCAAACTCAAGGGGGATCTGCGGACAACAACCAGGAAATAGCTGACATCGATGCCAGCATCGATGGGGGCATCGATGCTAGCATCGATGCCCGTATCGATGCCAGCATCGATACCCCTATCCATGCTGGTATCGATACCATCGGCGTTCTGTTACAGATTAATGGCTGAAATTTATTATTTTTGGATAAGATTTCAATCCAAGGGCTCTCATTCACTGATGTTTACTATAAATAGGGGTAGAGAGTGAGGGGTTAGAGGTGTGAAAATTTTTATAACTCCTTTTGGAGAGGAGGGCTACTCTTAATTGAGAAGGCCTTCCAAAATTGTAACTTTAGTTGCAATTAATAATAATAATTTTTTACCACTTTAAATTTTTCTCTTCTTCTCTTTGTTGGATGATGAGGATGAAGATGGAGATGAAGAATTATTTGAAGGTTTGCATTTCTCTTTTATTTTTTTTATTGCTTATTAGTTTAGATTTATTTCTATGCTTATAGTTAGATTTTATTTTCTTGTTTAAATAGCCAAGAGGCTAGAACCCTCTTGCCTTAGATTTATTTAATGCTTATAGAGTAGATTTATTTTTTTGTATTTAATTCTTGCAATTTATTTTGTAGTTTAGATTTTATAATTTATTTTGTAGTTAGATTTTAGGGAAAATTGTTTTAAGGCCCCCAAAAAAAGAACCGGTTGTGGCCCAGCCCACTGTATTTTTTTTTGTGTGATCAAGCCCCAAATACCCAACTCATTAAAGTTTCAGCCCCTTTGTCATTTCCCAGACAACTTTGAGAGCACAGTTCCTCTGTAAAGACGAATTTACCCTTGTAACTGTTCGTCCCCAAATCCGCCCTCCCTCTTTCTCTCGTTCTCTCGCTCTCGCTCTTTTCTCTGCAGACCCACAAATATCCCCAAAACTCGAACCTCCTTCACCTTGCGAACCCAATTTGAAAACCCTAGACGAAAATTATAAGAGAAAATGCCGAAGAAATCCACAAGAAAAATGGCGAAGAAAATTATAAGAGAAATGGCTAATAACCCTAAACGACGCAAGGGTGAAGTAGAGCAGATTCAAACGGAAGCGGACGTTCGTCCCCGGCGTCGGTCGGCACGACTTGCGCAGGAAGAACTACGAAACTTATCCCCCTCCACCTCCGCCTTGATATCTCACGCCAGCGATTCTGTTCCGCCATCCTCTGATGATGAGGAGAGTAACGAGGCGATGGAAACCCTATTGAGCATGAAAACTCAGGAAAATCGAGAGCGCAAGAGGAGACGCTCGCGGGAGGATGTGTCCATCTCAAAGAAGAAGTAAGTTCCCAATCAATTGAGGGTTTTTGAATTTAATTATTTTAAATGAGTGATGTTGATTTTAATTGTGGTTTATGGGTTCCTTTTTGAAGGAAATGGTGGTGAGAGACTGGTTATTGTAGTGTATAAGCAGTTTCTTAATTTTGGAGGAAGATCTGAACAATATGAAGTGTTGTGGGGTTGGAAGAAATGCATGTAAACAATTCTCAATTGTTGATAGCTAGTAGCAATGCATGTCAATAATCTGTGTTTGTTGTTAACGTTTACTCTTAAGAGTCAACTATTAGCTAATCATGTTAATAAAACGTGATTTTGACTATGTTAATGCCTTTACTGTTGATTGTTACGTAATTTAAAGTTGAACGACTTGTTAAGAGTAAATTGTTGTTCATCCAGGATAGTTGCTGCTTTAGGTGATATTAGGCCCAGTGCCTGTCTTGGAACATATTGTTCCTTCATGCAAAAACTGCAACCAAAACTGAAGAAGTGGCATTGGGATGCCTACAAGGGCTGTAACTTTGAGCACTATGTGTTCTTTGGTCCCCTAGCACGCGATCGACGGGCACTAGAGTATGTGCTCAGCCATTATACTGGCGAAACTGATGAGTTCTCTTTTCCCAACCCCAAGAGCAGTTCTATATTTTCAGTGAAATTTGATGAAGAGTGGGTGCATACTCACACAGGCTTTCCCATTGATGGGGAGCTGATCTACGGGAATAGAGACTCTCACAACCGACTTTGGAGGCAATACTTTGAAGATAAGAAAGAAATGCTAAAGGCCAAGCCAAAGGCAAAGGCAAAGGCCAAGGCTACACCAGAAGCTGGTAGCATGATGAGATATGTCGAGGAGTTGCTGGAAACACTTGTTGAGTCCTCTGATAATAAGGACATTGAGGATTTTGTGTTGCTTCAGATATTGTACCAATGTGCAACGATTTGGTGCCCCAACAGCTCTCAAGACATCCCAAGACAATTGTTTCAATATGTAGATAGTATCGAGAGTGAAGACCATTGCGTGGGGTAAATTTATTTTTGATGAGACGAAGAGAGGCATTCAAATTGCTGTTCAAGGGATGAGGAAGCCAGGGGTTACATACGTACCTGGATGCATGCCGCTCATCCCTGTATGTTACATTTGATCTAGTTAATAGGAGTCATGGTAACAGGCATTAGAAAACATGTACAACATTGGACGTTAATAGGTTAACATGTTAAAATCAACATGTTAACATGAAGTTTGACATATAGAAGTAAAAGTTAGCATTAATAGGTGAAAGTTAACATGTTAACATAAACTTTAACATATAAAAATTAAAGTTGACATTAATAAGTGAAAGGTAACATGTACCCAGTAATGTTAACATGGGTTAGTGAAGTGAAGGCTAGCTATTTAGTATGTTGTAGTTCAAGAAAGAGTTATGCAAGTTAACTATTTTGACAATTGATCCTTCGATTCTGACAGCTTTGGTACTTTGAGATGACTGGCATTAAAAAACCAGCCCTAAACTTGAGGTGGAAGCCTCCGATGACCAACTGGGTAAGGGTCGGAGGGACGGCTGGATCGCTGAGGATGGAGACAATCGTCTCTAAGGCCAAGAAAGCAAGCATAAAACTTGAGGAGAAACCAATTTCACTCAGCATTGGATGGGGTGAAAAATACCCTCAAAGGGAGCCCAGCAGGAAGAAGATTGAATTCACTCGCTTTGGGAAAAATAGAAACCCAACGTCCGGAAAGCAAGAGAAGAAAATGAGTAATGGGCTGACCAAAGAGCAAACTAGGCCGAGAAAGATGAACGAGGAAGAAAAGCAGAAGGCTGGGAGCAAGAGCAGGTGATGGGCAGACCAAAGAGCTCATCTGTGGAGTTACGTAAGGCAGCAATGAACTCTTTACACATCACAGCATATTTACTTTGAGCTTATGAATATTTTATCGTTAGCATTAATTCATTTTCAAATTTGCATTGTTTCATGTTAACTTTCTTTTTAGGGTTTTATAACTATTGCTGGCTTAATCTTGTGGATTTAAAGGGTAAGGGTATATGGTGTATTTACAGATTTTGCCGCAGCATTCGCTTGATGCTTTGTTCAAGAGAAGATGAAATAGATAAGTTGACGCGATGTAGAGCAAATTCTTTTGGAGGAATACGGGCCAATATAAATTGGAAATTGCTCCAACGGCTGTCTAAGCGTAGCAGCGCTCTTCAATGGGTATGCTTGCCTCCAGGA